GCCTAAATATTACAGTAAACTTTGAAAATCTCAATCTCTTCTCTCTCTCTCTCTCTCTCTCTCCCTCTTTGGTAACAGGGGTTGATTCTAGGGGCGCTTTACCAATGAGCTACACCCCCAGCCCTTTTTATTTTATTTTTAAATTTTGAGACAGGGTCTCATTAAATTGCTTAGGGCCTCGCTAAGTTGTTGGGGCTAGCTTTGAGCTTGCAATCCTCCTGCTGTAGCCTCCCAAATTGCTGGGATTACAGGCGTGCACCACTGCAACCCAGCTAAACGGAGAATCTTTAAAAGTATTAATTAAACTGAATTTTTGTTGGCAATTTTCTTTGTTTCTTTCTTTCTTTTTTTAAAGCCAGAATCTAATCTGGAGAAAAAGATTAAAGACATCTTTTAAATGTGAATGTGAGTCTTTCCTATCTGAGAATAATAAGCCTGGTTCATGAAAACCATTTATAAAAAGGTTGTGCTTATAAGACGTCCAGAGCATACTCTCAAACAAGAGGAACGCTGCCTTGAGGAAGCCGCAGCCCAGCAGCTCTGCGGTCCACACCAGGTAGCTGAGTGTGCCTGGCTCTTTGTCTGCAGACTCGCACACTTTTACTCTGGTACTGATCACTTGAAAGCTTCGACCCTGAGCTGGCTGGTCCAGGGCCACCAAACAGCTCCATTAAACTGAGTCAGCAGAATCTTGACAGGACTAATTATTAATTGTTGTAGTACCCAATTACATTAATTGACCAATGTTTCCACCCAAGAAGAGTTGCTGATATACATTCTCTTTGCAGGATTTTATTGGAAGAATTTTATGCTTTAAATGTGATTGAGAAGAGTGCTGAAAAGGCTGTATGGCTGTATGTCAAGAATGAACACTGCTCTTAATTCTCTGGATTCTCACTGAAAATACAGATCCTGACACTGGGAGATTCGTGTTTGTCTGTCTTTAATACACTTTCAATTCCCAGGGTACACTTAGTAAAGTGTATCTGCACCTAAATATTGGTATCTCTAATGACTCTTTTCAGTGCCCCCCCCCACATACAGATATTTTGCATTTCTAATTTGCTTGGTATACAGGCAAGCAATGTGCATAATTGAACTGCAAATGGAAGCGTGCTTGCTACTTTAGTGAAATTAGAATTCAGTGAAGGTTATAAAAATATTAAACTTACTATCATATTACAGGAAGCATAAGCATTTGTGATGGGCCCATGATTTTACCACTTCACCTGCTGTACCCGCTGGCAAACATGGTTTGGAATATTAATGGAAACCCCCCTCATTATTAAACTGCAGTATTAAAAAAGAAAATCCACTAACAGCTTACCACAAAGTCATCTTCAGAAATTATCTACCTTAAAAACATTTTCCCACCATACAGTTCAGAAACAGACTTAATTTTGAAAAGCTAGAACAAACAGGGAGGCCCCCCACTGCCTCACACAATTCATTAATTCAAAAAGTTCTATTTTCCTTGCAGCTGAAGTCTAGGGGAGTGGGGATCCAATCTCCTCTCCTGCAATCTCCATTTGAGTGTGCCTATTTTGCTGAAGTCCAGATTTGAATAATTCAAAGCCAGCTCCAGTGGATGATGCAAGTCCAGGAGCAAGGGCCCAAACCAGGGCGTTCTGGACCAGTAGTGCAATAGAGAGGGCCTGTATCATACCATGCCTCATACCACAGGCACAAATCCCAGAAGGGGATACAGGAGAAATGAGACACGAGCAAAGAGAAGAATGCAATCCAGAGAGGCGGCTTTTACCCAAGTCCACAAAAGAAGGGCAGGTCCCACTCTGTCCAACTGTCACTCTACCACCTGTGTTTATTAAAAGGGAGATTTTTTTCAAGGACCCAGTAAGTAAGTGACTTGCCATGAACTGAAGAAAACAATAGGTCAGAGTCTGAACTTTTAAAACATAGTGGAAGGTCCCTTGGGTATCTGAAAGGTAAGAAGAGCTTCCAAGAGCACAGCTAAAGGACACCTGGCTCCACCTGTCACAGCACATCTGTGTGCCTTCCAGAAGCTATAGCCTCTCTAGCCAGGTCCCTCCCTGGGCAGGTATCATCGCCACCATCCCCCCCCCTTCACCTTCCTTCTTTCCTTTCTTCCCTTCCTTCTTTCTTTAAAAGAATGATTTACAGCCCTTTCTAAGAGCTAGCACATCCCCCGGGCTTTCAGAAATGGGAGCAAGGCACTAGTGGCATCCTTTTCAGGCATGCGGTGACATTCTGTGTGGTAAGCCAGGCAATGCTGCTAGTATTTTAAGTTGATTTGATGAGCACCTTTTATAAATTATATTTGAAAATTTACTAGTGGCTTTTCATTACAAAACAAATGCATATTACAGAAAGAAGAAAACATATTAATTTATTCTGAACATTAAGAAAGGCACATAAATTGAGAAATTAATAAAATGGGATTCAAAAAGGTAATTCAAATATTATCCAATCCATCTTTAACAAAATAGCCAGTTTCTGTTGAAGCCGGTAGAAAAACTATGCAATTACACTCGGGCACCATGCTTCCAGTGAGTGCAGTGTCTGCAATTTTCTGGGAAGTGGACTCTACTCCCCATGTGACGATAGGGACTCTACTCCCCATGTGACGATAAGAAAACCAGATCCCACAGGGGCTAACAAGCTGGGCACAGGTCAACTGACTGCTGAGGAGCAAAGCAGAGCCTCCTGCTCAGTATCAAGAGCTCTGAGCACAACATGTTAAGCCACACATGGCCACGTGTGCCCAGGGAAGGAGGGAAGGCTGACTTTTGTGTAATTATACTGCCTGTCCACTGATGCTTCCTTCTCCTGGGTATATTCCCTCTCCCAAAGGAACCTGGTAACTCTGACACACCAATGTCCTGAGGTAGCTGCACTTCAAGCAGACCCCTGGACAAGGACAGGGCTTTTTATCCCAAGATATGCATGTACAATAAGTGACTGGTGGCCCTCAGCACCTGAAGCTGAAGCCTATGGGGCCAACCTTCCCAAGTGGCAAGGCAGCCCTGGAAATGCAATAACTCTGGCTCAACTCAGGTTCCCTTCAACACTGAAGTAAATATTGAATAAAAACAAAGGAGCCTTTTCTCACCTGCAAATATACCTTGGTCTCAGTTGGGGAAGGCTTGCACATACACGGGCATTTCATCATACAACTGTTTTTTTTCCCCAGAAATACAATCCACTTTAGACTCATTTGTAAGCATGGCCACCTGAACTCCAGTGAGGCAGCACAGTACCACCAGGAGCCAAGACCCTCATTTCAAACAACAGCTCTACGCCTTACTAGCTGAGGACCCCAGATGACCTGTACCCAACTTTCTCATCCACAAAGAAAAGGCCACAACCACAGATCTTTGCCATCCTGAAGTAGTGAATGATAAATTAAAATAAACGCTCAGAGGGAGTTATTACTTTTTTTAAAAATTCCTCTTATGGTGAAAGATGAATATTTCTGATACACACACATTTATATTGATACCAAAAAACACATCTACACTGTACATTATCCACTGAGATAAGTTTATTCAGAAAACTATACTGCTTCCCCCATATTTACTTTGGAAATTTATAATTTTCGTCTACAGACAACCTTGCTCAAATTCATTATACACAAGAAAATTGGGGGGGGGGGCTAAAAGAAGAAAAAGATTTCTATCATCATTGATTTCAACAGAAAAAAAATGAGCCACACAGAGCCAGGGGACCCAGAGATGCCAGCCCCCAAGCTGCTCCCCTTCTCTAGCACGCTGCGGTGCAGAGTGGGCCACACCTTGGCTCTATCACTTCGTGCAGAGTGGGCCACACCTTGGTTCTATCACTTTCCAGCATCATGAACCCCCGACCAAGAGTCCTCTTCTTGGTAAAACAGTGGTAACAGAGCCCTCCTCTCAGGGCAGGTAAGAGACAATATGAGATAGAATACAAGCAGGTCCAGCACAGAGGGCCTCAATCAACACTGCCTTCCACCATCCTGACCACCCCTGCACAAGACTCTGCTTCCAGAGTGCAGAGCAGGTCCGCAGGCTCCAAGAGAAGTCCACAGGGAAGCTGGTGTTGGACGTCATCATGGCAGATGCAGGGAATAAGAGTTTGCAGAAACGATCAGATAATGAAACACCTTATATCTTTCCAAAGAGGTGAATCATTTTCTTTTAGGTGTCAAATGAATAGCCAAATGTATCACAATCAAATCTATCATGGAAAAAGCCAGACAGGTACTTGCGTCAAATAAATGGTAGCTTCTAATGATGCAGAAATCTCTGTGACACTGAGTCACCTGGTATTTAGAAGATAAACACACACTCCCCCTCTTGGCTCCAGAAGTTCTAATGAGCTAAAAGTTTATTCCATTTCTAAAAGAGATCTGAACCATCACTTATACCTCCTTAATTCTGAAATTCAATTCTCAATTTGGGAACGTTACCAGCATCTTTTCAAAAGCTGGACTTTGCAAAATATATGTACCCTCAGATAGAAGCAAGGATCAGACATGCTCAAAACTTACACCCTTGAACATATTCCATTTTCTTCAGCCCTCATCTCCCTTAGCTTTTCACAATCAGTAAAGTGCAGTTACCAATCATTGGAAATGACATGGGCTTAATGTCAGAAATCATTTAGCTTAAATAAGAAAATAACTCCATTTAGCTTTCTCCCACAAAGTAAAATTAAGTTTGTTTAGCCCTTTTTTATTTATTGCCAAAGGGCAGATTTAATTTCAAGGCAGTGAAAGCCAAACTCATTCTGAAGTCAAGTCTAAAGTTACCACTTTAATTTTGCTCTAACTATTGAGGCGCAAAGGCTGCAAGCATTAAAACAAAGAGGAATTAATTATGGAAAAACAAAAGGTGATAGGGACCACCAAGCTCTTTAATCAGGGCAGAGGGCTGGGGAAGGTGGAGAGCAGCCTATCCTCCTACAGTGCTCCCCTGCGAACCCACACTTTCGGAAAGCCCTCTGGCTCCAGGGTCTTCCAGGCCTTCAGTCTTGGGACTTACCAGATACATTGACTGAGGCCCCTGCATCAATGATCCCGCTGTTGGGCCTCACGCAGTACCTACGAGGTGCAGTGGTCTTCACTTTAAAACACACATTTCGGTCTGTTGGGTTGCCAAGCTTTAAGTTGGTGGTGACGACATCGGTGAAGGGACCTGTTGGAGTAAGACAGACACTGATTGGGAAGCTTGTGTGCAAAGTTTATCAAACAGACTAGTTTACGGAAGGGTGGGTATGGAATATGTTAAAAGAGGACCCAAGGTGCAAAACTCTCGCTAACACATCAGTGGCTGGACAGCTGAGCAAGGGTCAGGTGGAGCCTGATAGCTGGTCCACCTAATTCTCATGACTTCACCAGGATTCTGACGTCCAGCATCTCACTGAAACTCACAACATCATGACTACTGCTGCTTGAGATGAAAAAATAGGCTCAGGAAGGCAAGTTGCTTTCCAAATTTCCACATTAGTTAGGGGTACTTAGGATGGGAAATTTGATGGCCGAATACATGGCCCGTTCTCAACTGAGCTAAATACTCATTTCCTCAATAACAAGGGAGCATGTCAAGACTACCCGTGGCTCTCAGATGTCCTCAAGAGCAGACTTCCAAGAGCAGCAGACACAAGACAGATTTGGGGGTTAATGTGGGTGAACGCAGAAGCCCTTATCAATCTAGTGTTGCTGCTAGAAAAGTTCCAGCCTCGCAGGGCTCACTGAGAAGTTAGAGCCCTTCAGGGCAGCCCACACCTGAAACAGCACACTTGATGTTGACTGCCCTGGCGAATGGAAGAATGAAACAGAGCTCCATGCCCTGAGGATATTTTTTATTACTATTATTTATTCATTTCCTATTTTATTAGCTTTTTTAATTAAAAAACTAAAATATGCTTCTTTAAACAAACCAAACAATAAGATGTATAAAAAGAAATTAATAAGCACTCTTTTGTCCCCTGAGGTAATGGATACAACCATCTGGGAGATCTCGACACATCATCTGTGCTCAGACAGCACATATACCACATGTGTATGCGGTGGGGAGGAGCAAGTATGAGATCACACGATTCATATTACTCTGAAGCCTGCTGGTTTTCACCCCCCAATCCACAGCAGACATCTGATCACAGGGCTTACTTAGGAGTCAGGTGGCAGAGCTGAATGCCAGGTGCCCATCAAGTTCACAACCTTTGAACACAGTCCTACCTTTCCCTAGGCAGGCCCTGCACCCTGCCTTTACAGTGACAAAAACACAAGGCACGGGGAAGAGGGGCATGTACTCCTGTGATTACACAGAAATACACAAAGGTTCATCTGTCCCTACCTGAGGAGATCCGACAAAGACACTCACATTTGTACTTGGTAAATTTTTCTAAGCTCTTGAGGGACAAAGATTATACTTGACCTATTTCTGTGTCTCCAACACTGTGCCCACCATCAAGGAGAAGTCTTGAGAAAAGAAGGATGAACATATAGAGAGATGGACAGATGGAGAGAGGGGAGGGATGGATGGATGCATGAAGAGATGGATGGACAGATGGCAAGATGGATACATGACAGAGAGAGGGAGGAGAGAGGGATGGAAAGAGAGAGATTGATTTTTTTTCCACTAAGAAGGAAACTACCCATGGATTAACTCTAGCAAAATTAAAATCTCAGCCTGGTTTCCTCTACAGGTGTCCATAGTATAAAAAAAAATCTATATTATATGGACTTAACTTAAAAACAAATTAAGAAATCAGTAATGGTGGACAGGAAGAAAGGAAAAGGAACTCAAATCCAACACTAAATAAACTACAGCCAGTTCTGCAACAAGAAAACACAAATTTGTCCAAATGTGATTGATGAGCATATTAGGAAGACAATCTGAGCATAAAATGATTTTCACATTTGCTTATGCATAATTTTTTCTTCAAGAAACCCTAAGTGAACACAGAAAACTGCACCCTGAACCTGGCTGCACAGAAATCTGCTAAGCACACATCCACACACACCACAGCCACCTTTATTCAAACGACCTCTATCCACCCCATGGGGCACTCGCTCCTCAGGTCTGCATGGATGATACAACTTTCCTTCTTGGCTTCAGGTGACCATCCTTCTTCCACGTCACAGTAACAGCCAGGCTGCAACTCTCTGACACACGTGTACTGGTGAACTCCAGGTGTCTCCTAGGGAAGGAGCCATATCTGATGTAGCACGTGTACCGTTCCCATCAGTCCCTCTGTGCGTGCACCATCAACACAGTCCTGGGGTCGTGTGTCTGGCCTACTCCCCTTGTTTTTTGCAGAGTATGGTGATTGTACAAATGTGTATGGAGAATCACAATGGATTGGCCATACTATTGGCTCATCTATTGTTGGTTATTACTTACACTAAAAGTTATTCTCATTCTGTGGGCAACATCGCCTTCAAGGACTAAATACCCCAGAAGAATTTCTCACCTTATTTACCTCTTCATCTGCTTAATTTGTCTCTGGCCCTCCAGACTCAGCTGGAAGTCATGGGAAAAGGCTTCCTAAAGGGTCAGGAGACCTAGCTGTATCCAGATGTGGGGAAAAGCAGTCTTCAATATTTCATCTTAGCTACCAATTCCATCACAAATAACCCTCCCTCTACACTCAGAACACAGGAGGCAGGTACTCTGTGGCCTAAGGGCTTTTCAGCTACAGTGAGAGACAACCAGATGCTGACCATGCTACACCCTAGTAGCAAGCTCTTGGCAACCATGGAGAAACAGGACACCTGGTGCTGAGACAGTGTCCAGGGGATTATGGAGGCAACAGCTCTCCTGAGCCTCTACCCTATTCCACCCTCCAGTGCTGAGGTCTGACCTACAAGGAAGATGGAGAAAGTCTGATCCCCTACCAAGTCTCTGTTTGCTTAAGGTGGTGATCACTTCAGCAAGCATAGGCTAAAAAAAGAATAGTTAAACACAGCTCTGACTCTCCAGGGTCAAAGAAAGCTATAAGGTCTGCAAACCTACACGAGTTCAAACAAACCACCTTGCAAACATATTCACTGCCCCACACATGGAAAAAAAAACCAACTCTAGTCACAACTCTACACAACACAGCTCTAGCTGAAGCAGACCCACAGTGCTGGAGAGAAAACAGTGTATCTACATCAAGTGACACCTGCAAAGGACGGACATTCAGATGTGATGCTGGGGGAAGGAATTCGTGGCAGTCTGTGACCCAAACACCCTCTAAGCTATGAGGCCTCAAAGCTTAGATAACAGTCTTCCTCCAGGACATGGAGGCACCTTCAGCTTGGAAGGCCAAGAACCCAAGCAGATGTGCACTGTAGTGAGTGTGTGGAGGTGTACGGGCTTCCAGCAGTTTCCAGCGTCTCTCCCACTCCTGTATGAGGCCAGGCGGGAAGCCTGGGTTTAGGTGTTTGATCACCCCACACACCAGCCTCCTCCTGGTCCTCTACAGCAAAAAAACAAATTAAACTGCAAACACTAAGCTGTTTGCAGGAATTTCCCCAGATTACTCTATTACATAGCAATCTAAATGATGTTTCACCTTATATAAATCACATAAAAGGTAGTGTAAATTATTAAAAGAGAAACAATATTTGTAATAATAAGCAGGATGAAATAAACACCCCATTCCCCCCTTAATACTCAATCCTGGGAGTTCTTGGGCTTTCATAAACATTTATTTGTAAAAATCCAAAGGGAGCTATGCTGAAAATACGCACAACAAAACAACATCACTGGTAAAACAGCAAAGTCCCACGGGTAAAAATTAAGAAATGTTTACCCATCCAGTCCTCCACTACCCACTCTGGGCAATTTACTCTAAGAATTTTATTGAAAATAAATTCTATTCAATTTGAGTAATTACAGGAGATAAACCATGTTAGTGTGCTCCTCTTCCCCTGTATTAATGAATTAGAACACAAAAAAACCTCAATAAAAATGATGTAAAGGGTTATGAACATCATTCAGATTTTTACTAGTCACTTTCATTTCATAAAACTGCCATTTCCATTAAGGCATTATGTAAAAAATGGAATTTTACTATACAAACATGCATATTTATCACCAATGAATTTAAACATTGCTTATAAAGTACAAAGTCAATTTTACAAATGAAATCTCCTTCAAAAGTTAGAATTTGTTCTTTTAAGAGATGAAAAAAATGATTTGTCTCCAGTACGTCAGTACACTTTTAATCATTCTTTCTTCTAATATTCTATTCCTTATTTCAGATGTCTATACAAAGCTAGAACCTAAGTATCTAAAATATGAAACTGAAGGAAAATAAATATAGCAACATGAATTGGGAGACATTAGGAACATTCTCTCTTTTTTTGAGACACAGGGTCTCATTGAGTTAGTATCTTGCTAAGTAGCTGAGGCTGGCTTTGAACTTGCAACACTCCTGCCTCAGCTTCCAAAGCTGCTGGGATTAAAGGCTTGTGCTACCAAGTCCAGCAGGAACACTCTTTAACACTTTATTTTTCTAACAACTTTAAGTGGGTTTTGTTTTATTTTGTTTTGTTGCGGAGTGGGGGGGAGGTTATATACTCGAGATTGAATTTGGGCACTCCATCACTGAGCCACATTTTGTATCTATTTAGAGACAGGGTCTCACTGAGTTGGTTGGCACCTCACAGTTGCTGAGGCTGGCTTTGAATTTGCGATCCTCCTGCCTCAGCCTCCCGAGCCACTGGGATTACAGTTGTGTGCAGCAGGCTTATGTCTCATATTTTTTGTTTGCCTATAAAAATTTACATAAGGTTGCAAAAGATGCTCCTGAAACAGCATTAACTGGTGGAATCTGAGCTCCTGGACATGCTCTTGTGTCAGATAAACCAAAGCACAGCATGAACTGCTCCCTCATCTGGTCCCCCAGGCCCTTCTGAAAGGAAGAAATGAGAAGCTGGTCTTCCCTAAGAATTTTTTTTTCCCTAAGAATTTTTATAAACATGCCAATCTGCTGTGGGATACTGACAGTGAAGCAGGCTGCTGATGTGTGGGGCGGGGGGCTTATGGAACTTGCATTTGCTATGAACTGAGAACCACTCTAGAAAATAGCAATATTTTTCAAAAAGAAGAGGGGGGAAAAGTATTTAGACTTTTATATCAAATTCACTTTTGGTAATGCCCTCCAACATTTCTGATATTTAGTATCATTGAGATTTTGAAAA